GTAGTGGGATGAAAGAGAGTTAATTGACCTATAGTATCAGGTCCAGCTTAGCCTGAGATTCCTTTCCAGGTTCTGCCTCCGCAAATTAAGAAAAGGTTAATTGGTAGGATAAATGCACCATGACCAGGCATTATGATATAAATTGCACTAAAAGAGCTATTCCCATGGATTTTAGCATCAGTAACATTGATTTCTGTTCAATTCACATTTGACCACTATTAAAATTGAGGAAGAAGCACACAGCAGCCTAGATAGTGCCTAATAATTCTAACTCTTGAGTCTGCATCAGTAACGTAGGAAAATTGCCCTCTTTTGTCATACCATTACCAGTGTTGTTATTGTGATACCATCCAGTGGGTAATCCAGCCATTTTGTGCCACTCACTGTGGCACCCATGACTTATCTACAGTACAACAGATTGCAAAACAATACCAACAATTAAGTAGCACATAATCTCAGTCCTTATGAAGGCTGGATGCTATTCTCTGACTTGAGATGAGGCCATACATATCATGTCGGAACCCACATAGGGCCAGTCACTGTGGAAACATAAGCATATCCATGACCCATGTTATCAGTGGTAAGGGACCTTCTCAATGCCCTGTGGCCATGCTCTGAACATTAAACATAGTCCGCTGCTTGAGCAATGGGAAGGCCCTGAAATGGTGGTCTACACCACCATTGTGTTGTGTTGAGTTGTATCTGAATGATCGTGATTCAAAAAATTCAGCACAAGCAAAGCTTTACATGATCTATCTTGCTGTGTGTCTCTCATATTCCCCTTTTTTGTTTATTAAGAGTACATTTCAGTGTTTGATGACATGTTCAGTGATAGCTTGACCAGTGGGAGAATGGGGAATGCCTGTAACATGTCTAACCCTTCATTCCTCTAGAAATATTTGTATGGCCCTGGAAATATAAGCAGGGTCATCATCCATTTTACAGTATGTGGGATCCCCATAGCAGCGCAGGCAGATAACCAGTGTTGACAAGCATCACGACCGTGTTCACCTGTATGCACTGTGGCAAATATGTAAGAAGAATGAGTATCTGTTGTTACATGCACATATTCTAGACAGCCAAATTCTTCAACATGAGTGACATCTGTCTGCCAGAGTTGAAGAGGTGCTGTGCCATGAGGATTTGTCCCTATTTGAGGCAAAGGGACAATTGCTTGGCAGTCTGGGCACATTAGAATAATGTTACAGCCTTGATCCTCTGTCAGTTGGAATTGTTTTTGTAAGGCTCTCCTATTCTGATGGATAAATTGATGAGAGAGTCGTGCATGTTGAAATAATTGAGGGATAGGAAAGGTGACTGTGGCTTGATCAGTCTTACAGCTGCCCTCTGTTAAAAGACCAGGCAATGTAGTGTGTGATGGAATATGTGTAGTAAAATAAGGAAGAGTATGGTGAGAGCACATCACAACTGGAAGAAAAGGAGGTTATCAGGAGTAGTCAGCACGGGTTCACCAGGGGGAGGTCGTGCTTGACCAACCTGGTAGCCTTCTACGATGTTGTCACTGGCTGGGTGGATGGGGGGAGAGCAGTGGATGTGGTCTACCTTGATTTCAGCAAGGCATTTGATACTGTCTCCCTTGACACCCTCATAACAAAGCTGAGGAAGTGTGGGATAGATGACTGGACAGTGAGGTGGGTTGAGATCTGGCTGACTGGCAGAGCACAGTGGGTTGTCATTGGCGGTGCAGAGTCTGACTGGAGACCTGTAACCAGCAGTGTTCCTCAGGGGTCGGTGCTGGGTCCGGTCTTGTTCAACATCTTCATCAGTGACCTTGATGAGGGGATAGTGGCCACCCGCAGCAAGTTTGCTGATGATACCAAGTTGGGAGGATTGGCTGACACGCCCGAAGGCTGTGCTGCCATTCAGCGAGACCTGGACAGGCTGGAGAGCTGGGCAGTAAGAAACCAGATGAGGTTTAACAAAAGCAGGTATAGAGTCTTGCACCTAGGGAGGAATAACTGCATGCACCGGTACAGGTTGGGGGATGATCTGCTGGAGAGGAGCTCT